GGGGCGCGTCGAAGTCTTCTGAAAGGTTAGAGGGTTGGGTCATTTTTCTGATATGATATCTAAGTATACCGAAGGTATAATACCCTAGGAAAAAAGTTTAAAATAAAAATAAATATATATACATCAAAAGATAATACCCAATGGGAGGTGAATATGTTTGCCAGTATCGTTCCAATGAAGGAAAGGTATGCGGGCAGGTGAGTAAACGACAAGAGGGATGCAAAATTCATTGGAAGAGACGCCAGCGAATTCCTTGCAAACAATGTGGAAGGCCAACGGCTTCTATATACGGATTATGTAATATGCATGTAAATAAATGCCATTCGAAAGCATATTATCATCGAAAGAAGTTGGAAAAGATGTTTTAGAATGAGCAGACCCCAGAAGCGTTCCTAGAAAGTTGTCCCTAGTGTCCTATGGAAAATTTTTTTGGAGACGCTTCTAGGGACGATAGAAATAGGGTTTTTAAGGTTTTTAGAACTCTGGAAAGCCTTATGGGTGAGTGTCCCTAGTGTCCCTAGTGTCCTTAGAAAAAATTGAACTTCTTTACTTTACTTTTTTTTTATTTTTTCCACCATATATATATTACGCATATATCATCCATTTAGCATCCATATGCCTGCCTTCTCGTGATAAATCACTCGAAGCCAGACCAACAGTGTTCAGTTGGGCTAACTGATAATAGATTAACTAAAAATCTTTTTTCGAGCCAGCGAGAAAAAAGTGAATAAGTTTCGAATTTTTTTTTCTAGAACTTTACTTTTTACTAGGGACACTAGGGACACTAGGGACAAACATAGAAGAAAAAGATAAAAAAGCTTTAGAAAGCAAATCTCCCATACCAAAGTCGTCCTTAGAAGCGTCCCCAGTAAATATATACCAAGTTTTCCTAGGGACGGTACCCATTTTACCCCGCCTTCTCGTGATAAAATCACTCGAAGTCGGACTAACTGGTGTTCTGAAATCTAGATTAACTAAAAGTCTTTTTTCGAGCTTGCGAGGAAAAAGGTGCATACGAAGAAGAGAGGTAGAAATAGAGACGGTACTATCACTCGAATTCAAGCACAGGTGCGTGAAGCGGCCGCCGATACCCCCAAAGCCGACGAAACTCCATACAACACGCAGTCTCATTTAACATTATTCGAAGTATTGTTCACCTTGAAGGTGTTACTATCACTGGTCTTGGGTACTGATGATAGTAGCCCCCTCAAGGTGAACAATATTTTTTCCCTCGCCCCTTTTCGCAAGCACAAGATGGTTCTGGATTCTGGGTGAAAGATGGATGAAGAAATATAGGCGCCCCCAACCCCGAAAAGGTTAGACTTAAACCAAATCTAACTCTATTCCGCTGCACAAAAATTCTCGATTTTTTAACTTTAAAAACCTTTTAAACCTCAAAAAGAAAGTTAGATTTAAAGAAGCACGTGACTAAACCCTAACTTTCTCTATTTTAAGCTTCTAAAGGCATAAACCTTCTTAAAAGAACAAAATTGAATTTCAAGCTTCTTAATGTTTTTTAACGCCATCCAGGATAGCTGAGAGGAAGTACCCCTCTCTTTAGGGGTCTAGAAGACTTAAGAAGCCTAAATAGATACCAATAAGTCAACAGGTATTTTAAACCCCTAAATATACTTTGAAGCGCAATTTAAATGATTTTGAGCTAGCACCACTAATACTACACTACT